GACAAGGAATAGTAAACATCTGTTATGTTTCATAGATCCAGAGATATAAAAGGGGATTTCCCGGGGGAAAATTTCCCTTGACTTKAGGCCTTACTTCAAATCAATGCCGCACAACCAAATCAGGTCAAAGTCCACAGGAAATTCAGCATTTTCACAATTGTGTTTTACACCAATTCAYAAACAGAGTGTAATATGACTGAAGTGAGTGAGGGTCGTTGGACAATGATTATTTAGACATTTGGTTTCAAATGTCATCTTGAGGGATGATGATGGTGTCGGGGGATTCCCGGGGAATTCCCCCCATTTATAGTGCACACTCATTTCAGTTTTAATCAGAATCTGAATTTCACTCATGTAATGATGCCGTATTATAACTTCTAAAAACTGGCGTAAGATTTAAACTGATCAAGCTACATACTATATCTTGAATGTGGAACTGAAAACGAAAGTATTTGAAAAATATCTATCGTGACTATAGTCATGGCAGCAGGCCAGCATACAATATGGGGAGAACAGCTGTCATCAAACCTAGAAGCATAATTCATCAAGATCAAAACAATATTAGAATAAGATACGTATGGCCCGTGTGAGATGCGACGTTCCAAACTGGCYACAGCAGGGTGACTTACCGCTGACAATCACAGAACCAGTACTGTGTTCTTGAGATGACGGCGAGGGTTTAGGCATCGACTTAAGGACTGCTGGTACAAAACTGTTCCAAAAAGCCACGTAATCGTTACGTAGTTTCGCTTGTACAGCCATGTTAGGTTTAAGTGCCATGAACTGTTGTTGTTTGAGGTCGTACTGTGGCCATACTATACCGATGTCGGCAGGTTTATTGGGATCCCTGTTGACAACAAATGAAAACGTTCATCGATTTCAGGATTTGACAAACGCGGAAGCGTTTATAGCTTTTGTATCCATAATGCTTTGCGCGCTTTCTTGGTCCTCAATTAGTCTACATCCAACTACGGCATGCTTTGATAATCAGTTATAATTAATCGATTCGGTGGAATTCGCGCTGTACGTGCACATACGTATCTTTTTACGCGCGTAGTACGTTTCCGATCCATATCGAGCACGCAAGGTAGTGTGGCTTGTTTGCGCAAGATTGTTTCTCTAAGACTCTGATCTGTACTGATACTCACCCTGTTTTAGCGAAGTTGGTCCACATTCTTATCACTGCTCGACTAAAGTTAGCATCTTTGGTGTAAACTGAAGCGTTAGATGCAGCAGCCAGGGAAAATGGYTGACCAAATATGATAAACTTGTCGGCGGCATGGTAGGCACCGACCCAAGACGGCACCGGACGTGACGCGGTGCTAAAGCGGTATTGTAGCTGGTATACATACGTTACTACAGACTTATTGACTAGTTCTCTAGCCGTCTTGATTGCAGGAGCAATGAAGAGAACATCTGCAAGCATATCTAGAAGCATTCTTCTGTTTCTRTASCGATCTGTGACGTTATCCCAGTCCGTATAGCGGTAGAGTATTGCTTCGTTGATCACCTTGTTTTGACCTCGTACAAGCCAGTTTACCTTTGCACCTTTAAGCGCAGATTCAAAGACCGATCTCTCGAATCCATTGGTGACATTGAAGCCGCTCCCTGCCCCTATAGTAGAAACGCGTTTTGGACCATATTTAGAAATAGGGTATCAGCAACAGCGTTTTATTTTAACTCTGAGTTGATCTATGACTCTCTTGATACTCGAAATACATGTATTCATCGTATTTCGATACTTACTTGATTTTTTTTTCTTACCTTTAACTGCATTAGTGACCACGGTTCCTTCATCGTTATTGAATCCAATCAGAACGTTGACTTTGACATTTCCTTTGGTAAGAAAAGCTTCGGGASTTTCTGATATCAACAAAAACAGGCGTTTTGTGGAACATTGCAATTGTAGGGCGTGGTCTTTTCCCGTAATCCCCTTGATTAATCTGGCATTTATTTGCTCAATGATCCCCCTTTTTGCCACTACTGCATACCMAACCACAATAAATTGTTGCTAGATACGTTTAACTTATATTCTAATAAACGCTGGAGCAAATCGCGGCCCCTTAAACAGAGACAGAGAGAGATTGGTATCAAGACACCAGAATAATGAGAAATTATTTAAACAGGTTAAACAAGTCAAGTATAGCGCACCTTCAGGTTGAAATGGTCCTCCAATAACAGGAGCAAACCTTCCTCCTGAAGCTCTTATCTTATTAATGCTCATAACAATGTCTTTAATACTCTTGGACTTCATGCATTCCACCAATCTCTGGGTGTTTTCACACCCAAGAACTTTGCCAACTAATCTTAATACGGAGAAAAGGAAAATCAGACAAGTTACGTATCTTATCTTACTCAGCCTGATTTTGGCAAATTTGATAAATGTATGTAGGAAAATATGTAGGAAAAACTGAAATATAAGATTTTTATTTTTACTATATATGCAACACCCCGCCCAGCCCCTCCCCCTCCAAAACAAATTCTCGCTGTGCCACTGATCTTGATCAGTATAACGTATATTTTATATGTCCATTCACAGACATTGGCTGACCGCTTTCTTTGTTAGTTGCATTATCATAGATCTTTGTTATTGTTATTCATAATTATACACTTACTTTGTTGTTCTTGAGGCTTCGTTATAAGTAAGATACGCCCATTCGGCAGTAGCATCACCRGCCTGTGGAATGGCGTTTTTGAAAAGWCCTTTTGCCAWAGGKGATARAACCAGATGCGAGACACTAGCACCCCCAGCAGACACGCCAAATATGGTCACCTTGTTAGGATTACCGCCAAATCTATGAGTGACAGATATGGAGATTATTCTGTCAATTCTCTTTGATTGACATTTTTAGAACCTGTAGCAATATTTTGGGTTAAAATGAACTAATTTTTGTCCACACTATCGAGCAAAACCCTTACTCTTTTATGTTATCTTTGACCCAAGTCAACGCGTGAATCTGATCCAACATGCCATAGTTTCCTTTAAGGTCGCCCACTTCCTTACCAGTTGCCAAGAACCCAAATACATTGAGTCTGTAGTTGATAGTTACTACAATAACCCCGCCAAGTGATGCTAAATAACTGCCATCGTAGTTATTCGAACCAGTTCGAAAAGACCCACCATGAATCCATASCATTACAGACAGTGATGAACCGGACCCTGCAGGGACAAACACGTTCAAATTCAAACAATCTTCGCTCATATCACGGAATTTTCGCCATTGCTGTGGACACATCTTTCCTTTAGTGTTTACATCTTTGAGGTCAGTCCAGGGGTCTGGGTCCGTGGGTTTACCAAAACGCTCTGCTTTAGCGAAAGGTATACCGAGATATTTTCTGATGGTACCACCGGTATTGAGCTGGCTGACAATACCTCGTATTGGACCGCTTKTGATTCTTATCACGGGTGTGTATTGAATGGATGAGCCTTGTTTTAACACAACGCTGAGTAGAAGAATCACTAACGGTGACATCTTGGACATGAATCCAGGCCGAACTTGTCACGCATTATGTCGTGACAGAAGGTCATCGTGACATGACGGTAAACACGGGCTATTGTGACTATTGTAGCTATATCAAGAACTATCTCTGTATTCATCCCGATTTAAGGCGACTCGACCTGGTAATGGTTTGATGCATCGTCGATGTTTGATGGCATCGTCTTTTTCGCAAGATTTCAGAAAGGCAAAATATGCCTCCACAAAGTCATCAATTTACAATAAATTTTTGTACCAAGATAAAGATGAAAGTTTTTGGTCACATAAATCAACATGTGGGATGGCACATTTTTAATATTAAATATTTGTATTACACACGATAAACTAGCTTTAAATGATTTATTGAAAGGTTAAGAATTGAGGAACAATTTTGGCACCACCATCCTGGCTCGTGACAAGTGCGCGTGATTATTTTCAAGACTATCTAGATCATATTACACTTAGAGTCCAACTCAGTACTGGGTAGTTCGTAGGACAGACCAAGGAAGACACAGCAACATCGCTAAACCTGTGTAGAAGATAAAATATCATTGGTCATTATAAAACAATTCAGTCGAAAGGAAGCAAATAGGGAAGGCATATTATTATAGCTAACGATTATTGATTATAACACTTTGCTTCAGATGTTATCCCACCACCCACACACTGTATGCACTATAATTGCTTTTGAACAAGATGAATGATTGTGAGAAACGGCGGAATTCAAATATATAATTCAAATTCCATTAGACGCACCATTGATGACAAAATCATATTTGGCGGTCTCACGTGACATTTTACATGGATAATGATGATAAAATATAMGCGTTTTATAAACCTACCGCTGATAACCRCTGTTCCACTACTGTCAACAGGAGGTTGCGAAGGTTTAGGCATCGATTTGAGGGCAGCTGGTACAAAACTGTTCCAAAAAGCCACGTAATCRTTACGTARTTTASCTTGTACAGCCATGTTAGGTTTAAGAGCCATGAACTGTTGTTGTTTGAGGTCRTACTGTGGCCATACTAGACCGATRTCGGCMGGTTTATTGGGATCCCTGTTGACAACAAATGTAGGTTTTCTATACGTCATGTATTTTTTATATCAACCCTAACTGATAAGGTTTCTTGTTGTGCTCGTTSAACAGTCGATTAATCGATCATTTTCTTGATCAATTGCTATTTTCATTTATTCATCCATTCATTCGTTTTTTTTATTCACCCGTTCGTCATCCGATCATTCGATCTCGAAGGTGGATATAATTCAATTATTAATTGAAAGAAGCTACTGCATGTAAATAGAGGTTATCATCACTCATTACCAGCAACAACTTCATCATCGTTACCAGAACCACCTTTATCATCATGCATCATCATCCGATCATCATAATCTATTTTGTTCATTCATCATGTTTATGCTTAATTCCCCTTAAACTATTTACGTACCCTGATTTGGCAAAGTTTGTCCAAAGTCTAATAAGTGCACGGCTAAAGTTGCCATCCTTCGAGTTTACTGACGAGTTATCAGCGCCCATTAAGGGAAAACCAAACAAGAAGGGAAGATCTGCCGCGTGATTTGCACCAATCCAGGATGGAACAACAAAAGTAAAATATCTATCCAAGCGATACTCCAAATGATACATGTACGTGAGTACAGAATTGTTGACCAATGCTCTAGCAGTCTTAATTGCTGGTGCCACGAATAAAGAATCGCCAATCATGTTGAGAAACATTCGCCGGTTTCTGTAGCGATCTGTGACGTTGTCCCAGTCGGTGTARCGGTAGAGTATGGCCTCGTTGATTACYTTGTGCTCAYTGCCTACCATCTTGCTCTTTCTTTCACGAAGAGCAGATATAAAGTCCGMTCTCTCGAAGCCATTGGTGACGTTGAAAAATACAAGTCCTGCTCCTGATAACGAACAAAAATACCGATCGATCGATATGCRAGGTTCAAGAATGTAGACTTTTCATACCTGTTATAGCGTTAGTTATGACATTTCCTTCGTCGTTACATGAGCCAATCATGATTTTAACRTCAGTTTTCTCCCTTTGGTACAAAGCTTCGGGAGAATCTGAATTCATTGAAGAAAGAGAGAGTGACGATAACAAAAACAAATGATTAAATGTTCCAATCAAAAAATATAACTAATATTCATKGAATGATGGAATAAATGATCGAATCAAATGAATCGACAGTAAAGAGTTGATTACTGCACAAGAGGATGAAATATCACGCGTACCAGCAGGGAGAAATGATCCACCTACGACGGGTGGAAAAAACCATCCAGTTTTAAGTGTCTTTTTCACAATTTCAGCTATTTCTTGGACACTCTTCGTTTTCATGCAGTTTGAGAACGTCTTGATATCATTACATCTGAGATCTTTGCCTATTGTCCTTCAAATAAACAAATCAATCAGTCAAGCAAGCATGAAATTAATCAACTAAGCAATCAATCAATCAAAAATTCAATCAATCGATCAATCAATTAATTAATCAATC